CCTAAGTGCCCATCAACAAACGAATGGCTAGAGAAGCTGTGGTATATTCGCACAATGGAATACTATACTGCATTAAAAAACAAGGAACTCCAGCAGGTTTTCAGAGGCTGTCAACTGCATGAGGGGAGACAGCCTATCCTCCTCCCATGAAGCATCTGGTGGCCTCAAACCACATGCCTTTGAGATTGCAGCACAGCTCCTTGCCATTAGTCCACCAGAGATCCCACACAGGCACATAGAGTGACAAAGATCTCTGTCAATCTGACTCAAGTCCATGCTCTAAACTACTATGCTATTCTTCATTTCCAGGGGAAAAAACACCCCCAAACATAGTAAGTAAGAAAAGACAGTTCATATGTGGTGATAAAACAGATATGCAGCCTGAGTTGCAGGGATTCAATGACGAATGTGAGTGATCAAGGTGAACTAGAGAGACCTCAGATTCACTATGTGGGAAACCAACTCATATTACCAGAAAATTGTCTGTATTTCTCTTAAAGATAAGCTAGAAATGTGGATCTTCATTTGAAACATCCAAGTGGAATACAGTATAATCATTACTGGTTCAGAATCTATAGCACTCTTTACATATCCAGCCACAACAGCATTCCAGAGATCAGGGTAATTTATGGATGCAACAACGACTAAAACAAGAATCTCATTAAGGAAATAATTATAGGACTCTTGCAAAGAGACAGAGGATATGCTAATACAAAGAAGATAAGTCCTCAATCACAGAACTATATAACAGCATCTCTTACATTAGGACACACATTATGTTCATCAGAAGTAGTGCTCTGAGATTCTATGTGCTGAAAGTTCAGTTCAGTGCAAACCTGTTAACATGGGGAGCATTACCAACTATATTAAAATACTGTGATAAGAGTTTGAGGGGCAAAATAAGCCCTCATGAGGACTGATCTTAGCTCTGGGAAGCTATATTCTAAGAAGGCACAGAAACACTCAAGCGGATTATTTTCATTTAATAAGGTAAATGCGAGGCCAGAAGTGTGTCAAAACATGGTAAAATGATTAAGACAGCTGGAGATGCAAAGATGGTTAGCTGGGGAAGTTTTATCCCTTTGTGCTATTTTGAAGGCTAAATAAGGGTTAGCTAGAGGGGAAAGGCATTCTAGCAAAAGGAAATGTTATATAAGAACAAATTCAGAGACATGAGAAATAGCAGGATATTTTCAGCGCACCTTTAGGCAACTCAGCTAAAGTACAACCTGTGCCAGAAAGATGAGGCAGGAGCTTCAGGTAAGAGCCTCAAGTGCAGTATGCCATGTGGTATGCTTTTCATTGATTCTGTAGGCAAGGCACATCTCCCCAGAATCAACTGCATTCAAATTTGCTTTTGAGAGCAACAGAAAAAATGTAATTTTGTTGTTGTTATTGTTGGTAGGTGTCACTGAGTATGACTCATAGTGACCCTGTGAACAAGAGATGTGCACCTTGACTTTTCCTGTGCCATTTTCATAATTTCTGACATACTTGAGGCTGTTGCTGCAGTCACTGTGTCAATCCATATGGTTGAGGGTCTTCCTCTCTTTCATTGACCCTCCATCTTTCCAAACATGATGTCCCTTTCCAAGGAATAGCCTCTCCTAAAAACATGCCCCAAGTAGGTGAGGCAAAGCTTTATCATCTTTGCCTCCAAGGAACACTCTGGCTACACCTTCTCTGTTCTTTTGGCATTTCTTGGGATATTCAGTACTTTTCTCCAACACCACAGCTCAAAGGCATCAATTCTTCTTCTGTAATCCTTATTCATTGTCCAGCTCTTATATGCACAGTAATTGATTTAAAAGACCATGGCCTGAATCAGGTGCACCTTATCTTTAAACTGACATCCTTGCTGCACAGCACTTTAGAGAGTCCTCTGACAGCAGACTTCCACCCTGTAATATGTCTATTGATTTCTTTACTGCTGATACCAAGAGTATTGATTGTGGAGCCAAGTGAGATGAAG